TTTTGATAGTTTCCAGTTTGGGGCTATAGTAAATTATGGTTGTGAACATTACTTTTTATTTGTATATATGTATATTTGCCTGTATGAGTTTATGTGCACCATGTGCTTGCTGGTGCCAGTGGAGGTCAGAGGGCATCATCACATCCACTGGAAGTGGTGGTTGTGAGCTACCTGATCTGGGTGCTGGGAGCTGAACCTGAGTCCTGAGAGGAGTAAATGCTGTTAACAGCTCAGCCATCACTCTAGCCTCTTACTACAAGCATCCTTTTGTTTTTTTGTTTTTGTTTTTCGAGACGGTTTCTCTGTGTATCCCTAGTTGTCCTGGAACTTACTTTGTAGATCAGGCTGGCCTTGAACTCACAGAGATCTGTCTGCCTCTGCCTCCTGAGTGCTGGGATTAAAGGCGTGCGCCACCACTGCCTGGCTTATTATGTGCATTCTTAACACAGCTCTCCTCCTCCTCCCCATCTCTGTCCATGAGTGAATTTTGTTAAGCTAGCTTTGAGTTTGTAATCCTTCTGCCTCAGTCACCCGAGGGTTCAGATGACAGGAATATATCACCAAGCTCAGGTTGTAGGTCAGTTTTTAAAAATGAACATAGTTTCATATTTTTTTTTGAAGAATTTGTTTACATTTATTTGTTTTGGAGCAGGGGACATATGCTTGGAGTGCCAGCCTTGCTGACACCTGAGTTAGTCTGTGCTGTTTTAGGCAGTCAGTGTGTGAGACTTTGTTACAGCACCAGTAGGACATTAAGGTAGTCTGTGTTTTTACCAACTCTTGGCACTGTCAGAAAAATTTAGAACCATTGTAAGTGATGAAATAGTATTTCATTTTGGTTTTAATTTACATTTTTCTGACAGTAGTGGTATTAAATATCCCCTAGTATGATCTTTTACTCTCTTTGATTAAACATTTGTAATTTGTTACTCTTATTTAACAAATTTTCTTTATTAGTTTTATACATTCTAAATTATAGTCCATTGTCAGATACACATATTGTAAAACTTCTCCCAATCTGTGACTTGTCTATTTACCTTTCAGTGGAACTTTCATATAATTATTCTTTAACTTGGATGACTTACTTTATAGGAATTTATGGTTGGTGCTTTTTAAAATTTTTAAGGTCATAAAAATACTCTTTTCTCCTCCAGAGATAAAGATTCTGTCCAGCCATGAAAAATGGCGCGAGGAAGTGGTAGGTGCTTTTCGTCTACATGTTGGGAAATTGTTGGAAAGTAGACTAACTTGGTGCCTTAGTGGAAAGTAGGCTGTTAATCTGTAGGCTCTTCTGAGCGTCCTTGCCTACTAGAATCGTAGCCTTTCCCTGGGGACCTACTCTGTAATTACTAAGGCTGTTTAGGCTTTTTAATTTTTGTTTTTGGTTCTTTTCAAGTCTTGAAATAAGGGAAGGTAGGTCACTTACTTTCCTTTTTCATTCTCAAAATTGAGTTTGACTATCTTTTGTTTCCATGTGAATTTTTAGTATTTTCCCCCTTGATCTGCAGGTCATTGAACCCAAAGTTTCACCCTTGCTCTAAGTGCTCTGCCACTGAACTGCACTTGGCTGGAGCTTAGCATGCTGAGACATTTCAAGTCGGGAAGACTAGACATTAAATAAGTATAATTAACATTTCTGTTCTGGGATCCCCACCCTGTTCACACCTTTGTGATTCACTTTGGATACTTTAATTTGGCCTGTCTTCAAGTTCACTGCGTGAACTGATAAAGAATGGCTTCAGGACATAAAGCTGGTACAAAAATCTAGTTTACAGAGTAGTACCGTGCGTAATAAATAGGACTAATATGGTGAGAGTGGGTGGAGAGATATATTTGTGTTCATAGCTGTAAAACAACAGATTAAAAAGCAAGACACTGATAGGATGGGCAGACACTTGCTATGTAGTGTGACTTTGGAAATGTATAAACATTTACGTGATGGGTATAAAATTTAAGGAAAAGAATAGTCCTTATGTGGAAGGCACAAGGAAATAGATCTATCTCACATTGCTGTCACCGCTGGAGAAAGTGACTATTTTAGGTGACTTTCTAAGGGAGTTTCCTGAGTGTCCTCAGTAGATAGAGATGCAAAGGAATCTTAAACTTTGTATAATAATCTTAGTTTTAGAAATTACATTGGTATTATGTCAGACTTTTTTCTATATATAGTAAGATAATAAAAGTGACTATTCAAAACCAGTGTTAGAGAAAGGGACATGAGAATAAACCAGAGTTACAGTGCACTGAATGGATCCCACCCCCACCCCCAACCTGCCCAGGACCTGTGATGTGATTTTATTTGGATAAAAGGTCTTTTGTCAGGTACAGTTACAGATCTTGAGATGAGGTTGTTCTGAGTCTTCCTGATGGACCCCCAAGCCCAGTGCTCTTATAAAGGTTTGTGGTAATGCATGACAGCAGCCCCAGGAAACTAATAGAAATAATAGACATTAAAATGAAATACTTAAGCATTTAACCCGATTTAGCTTTAAGTAAATGTGTTTTAGGTTAAACACACAACCCTAACTGATGAGAAAAAGTTCCTTTTAAAGAATTATAGATAATAATGGATGGAATAGACTGAGAAAGTAACCCTAATAAATAGATCTTGCCACTGGTCATTAAAGGGTGATCAATCATATTGCATGGAAAGATGATGGAAGTTCTTAGCCTGCAAACTGGTACAGCAGGTAGAACATTGTTGGCTTGTAGATAAATAATGTGATACAAACCACACAGTGTCTATTGTTGGGAGGTTGAAATATAATCTAAAATATGTATAGCTAACTTCCTGTTGTATGGATAGAAGAATAAATTTTTGACCCCACAAGGAAAACAATTAGAGAATGTAAAGTCACATAGATGGTACTTCCTGAATCAGTTTTATGAAGAAAAACAAAAGTTGAGGGTAGGGACTGTTATAGATTTAAAATGACTCAGGAAGCAAACTATCCAAATGAATTCCATTGTCTGTTTTGCACCTGGACTCAAAACAACCGTAAGATGAAATTTTCCTTTGAACCAGGCAGGCAGATGATGGATAATAGATGATTCCGGGCTTTGATAAGGATCTGCTCTTCTTATGGGTACTAAATTACAGAGTTGAAATAGTTGTCAGAGATTTGCTTTTTTTTTTTTTGCCTACTACTCTATGCGATCTACGGTGGACAGTGGGAGATTGTGTGTGGGTCATTCTGGGGGTGGGGGTTGGCTGACAGCCGGTGCGGTGCTAGGCTGGGAATCAAACTCGGGTCCTCAGGCGGAACAGTTGGGCGCTCTGCCCCCTGAGCCGTCTCTCAGGCTGGAGAGATTTGCTTTTTTTTTCTTTTTTGGTCTTTGTTTTTGTTTAAGGAAAATTAAGGTAGTACCATACATATCTTAATCATTGCCACAAGTGGGACAAGGGTATTACTATTTCTAAAAGTAAATAATATTGTGTAAAAAATATGTTCCAACAGAGTCTTATAGACATCTGTATCTCTGTCAAAATTGAGCTACCCCATGAAACAAAAGATGCAGTAGGTAAGAAAGATAAAGACATGGAAAATAACCACTTTAGCTCACAGAGGTGAAGGGAGTTCCTAGTGATGCTGCCGGTCAGGGTATTGTTAGTTCAGTTAGAGTGGAACGATACAGTGCTCTTGGATGGGAGTGTACAGAATAAGAAAACAGTCCATTGAAATTTTTTTATTTGTATGATTGAAAATTTAATTCAAGGGACTGGCGTAGTGTTGGTGGTAAAGTGCATAGAAAATAAACAAGTGAAAAAGCAAGTTAATTCTGGTGAGTACCAAAAGGTACACAGAAACATGCTTACATAGTAGCTTCTGGTCTCATCAGATAATGTACAAATAATTATTTATTACAGCTGCAAAGTGGTTTTCATAGTAGGGGGAAGGAAAAGTCAGTGGTGATGAAAAGGAATTAGCTCAACATTGTCCATAGCATTGTCAGTAGCTAATGCCTGCACTTGATGCTTGAAGGGTTACTGTTACAAGCCTGTTCTTTGACATAAAATAAAAGATACCAAAGAATGGCATTTTGATATAGGAAGCAAAATTGTTCTTAATTTTGTTGTGTATGTTACTAGATAACAGTAAAGGGGCTGGAGAGATGACTCAGAGGCTCTTAAGCACTGGCTACTCTTCCAGGTCCTGAGTTCAATTGCCACCACCACATGGTGATTTGCAACCATCTGTAATGAGATCTGGTGCCCTCTTCTGCCATGTGTAGGCATAATAAAAAAGAAAAATCTAGGTAACAGTGAAAACAGGTGTTAGGAATAGGTAGAATTAAAGCTGATGAGGTTGAATAGAGCCTTTCTCCACAAGTGTGCTTGATTTTCTTAATGAAAATTTAAAATTTAAAAACCAGGTGGTGGTGGCGGCGGCGCACACCTTTAATCCCAGCACTCGGGAGGTAGAGGCAGGTGGATCTCTGTGAGTTTAAGGCCAGCCTCGAACTGAGCTTCAAGACAGGTTCCAAAACTATAGAGAAGCCCTGTCTTTAAAAACCAAAACTCTGTGAACAGTTTGTTTGTGTATATTTTAGGTCTCCCTTGCCCTCATTGTTGGGAGGGTTGAACCCAGAGCCTGTTCATGTTAGACAAGTAGTCCACTACTTAACTATGTATACACCAAGCCTTGATTTTTGCTAAATCTTTTGAGACTAGAATGAGGTTCTAAAAATGTTAAAAAAAATTATCTTTGTGAAAAAATTTTATTATTATCAAGTTTTAATTTGAAAAAATTAAGAGTGGAGAGAAATGGCTTTAGTAAAATTGTCTGGAGCATTTATAAAGATTTTTATTTGCAAAATTATATTTGCCTAAGATTTGAGTCATCCTGATTTTTAGAAGGATTTGTTGCTACAATTCAGCATTTCAATGAATATAGAATTCCAGATTGAAAAATTTGAATTTGTTTGCTATGGTTTGCATTCGATAGCATGTTGAAATCACTAATTTAGTTTTAAAATTAATGTTCCAATGTCTTTTCTAGGGTATATTTACCAGGCTGTTTCTGAGTGTGGATTGTAACCTTTGGTAAGAAAATGTCGTCCATCTTGCCATTCACTCCGCCAGTGGTGAAAAGACTTCTGGGATGGAAAAAATCAGCCAGTGGGTCTGGAGGAGCAGGTGGCGGGGAACAGAACGGACAGGAAGAAAAGTGGTGTGAGAAAGCCGTGAAAAGTCTGGTGAAGAAGCTAAAGAAAACGGGACGATTAGATGAGCTTGAGAAAGCCATCACCACTCAGAACTGCAATACCAAGTGTGTCACCATCCCCAGGTAAGTGAGGCGGGGCCGTGCGTGTGTGCGGAGGGCACCTGGAGAGGGGGCGTCTGTACATAGTGGTCGTTAAAATACAGTTATTTTGTTCTCTTAAATCCTGTTTATTTTACAGTTTAGTTTCTTGAGTAGTGAAGTTTAGTCGAGCAGTATTGAGATTTCTTTATTTTTGTTACTTGAAGTTGTTTGCTGTTCTCATCTTCATGACTGAAATTTGAATAGAGTCATTGAATGGAAGGTTAAACGGATGCCCACAGCTATCGCGGACAAGTACTGGCTAGTAGTTTCCTTCTTCCTTGGTCAATCAGTAAATAGTTAAAAGTGCTGCTGTCTTCTGTTGAGATGCACGCTCCAGCAGGGACTGTAGGTGAGGCCGCGTCTCAGAGACCGGACTTAAGCACTGGAAGGACCTGTTTCTCACAAGGTTGGAATTTTGAGTAGAATTTTAATCATTTTATAGCTAAGTACCACAGTTAGGAGGGTTGTGGCAGATCATTTGAAAGCATGTTCCAGTGGTTTGTGTGTACATTACAGCTGCATGTGTGTGTCCAGAAGACAGATGTTCTGAGTGATGGCAGTGCTGTGGGCCAGGGCTGCCTGTGCTTGTTTCCAGTGATGTAGGTGATGGAACACCAGGAACACCAAACTTCCTACTTGTCAGATGGAGTAGATTGTTTCTGCTTTGTTTTGTAGACAGCCATTTTTCCTTTGTTTTATGTGTATCTTAAGTTACCTTTCTTGGTTTGTTCTTTTGTTTTTACAAATGCTGATGAGGTGCTTGGTGTGTGCATTATTTTTAGACAAATGGGGGCGTAGTGATGAGCAGGTAGAAAGTTCCTAAGTCAGTTTACCTGTTGAATAAGTGAACATAATTTGAGAAAGTAATGAACTCAGAAGACAAGTGCAGGGGTGGGATGTAGAGCATGTGAGGCAGAGGTTGCACAGATGTTTTGGCTGCAGAGGTCAGATTTGAGCTGGTCGCCAGGGAGACAGTCTTGTAGCCAGGGGAAAGGGCCAGTGTAAAGATTCCAAGGCAGAAAGGAAGAAAAAAAAAACACTCAGCATTTTAGGGAGTTGGGGAAGTTTGAAAGTTTGACCAAATAACATAAGGAGCAAATAGGGACTCTTACAGAGTTATCCTGGCCAACAGACAAGTGCTGAGGGGAGAAGAGGTGGTGGTGCTGTGGGCGGGTGCAGGTGGGCGTGCGTGGGCGGGTGAGGATGTGAAGATGAGCTGTAGTGTGTGACAGTCTAGTGCCGGACGAACAGAAAGACGGACACGGCTCTGCTGGATCTCAGAATGACTGCACTTCCCTGTGTTTGAAGTGGATGTCACAGAACTCACAGCAAATCGGCTAAGATTAAGTCAAGTTTTGCTTGTTAAGGTTTCATTCTGAGGTTGGTAGCATTTAGTTTGTAAATAATTTAAGTGTTCACTGCTTGGCTCATATGTGCTGGATTTGCTGTTGAATTGCTTGCTTGTTGGTGAAGGAGGTAAACTTATATAATTCTTCAGGGATAGTACTTACTAGGAAAGAAACATGCCCAGGGACCTCCATCCAGAGGAAGCCCTGGGAAGCTCTGTCCCAGGAGTCTCTGTGATGGAGAGTGGAGATTAGTACAGAAACTGGTTTCAACAGGAGTAGCACTGGAATGGAGGTGGTAGAAGTTGGGGACAAGTGACTGGTGAAGGATTGCTCATTCCCAGTGAGAAGATATCCTCAGAGTATAAACTGAGGGGCTAGTGATGGTGGAGCCGATCCTGAAGGTAGCAGGAATCCACAACATGCTGTGCAGGGACTTCAGACTGCACTTGAATGTGACTCGGAAGGATGGAATTGTTGAAGTCTTAAATTCAAGACCCAGAAGGCAGCTTAATTTTGTTATCTTTACAGTTTTGTTTTTCTAGTGGTGCTAAGGATTGAATAGATAGATAGAGGGCCTACACGTTAGGGTACTCTACCACTGACTACATCCCTCACTCTTACTTTTCTCTGTCTCCCACGACCGCCCGGCTTATTAGTCATTGCTTAACTATTAAATATCCTTAAACAGTAAGTTTTAATTGAAATTCAGTCACCTCCGTTATGTAGTGTAAAATATGGGAAGTGAGCGTGGGAAAGGTAATTTAGGCTACGTGAGTTCATGAGTGTTGTGGGTAATCTAAGGCCAGTTCAGACAGCTATCTCAAACGTGATATAAAATGTATTTAGCCTCATTCACTTTCAAATGCAACTAAGCTGTTAATAAAATAAATACCTTAAGACTTTACAAGCCTAAAATTACAAGGTCACTTGGTGGAGAACATACTGGCTTACAATATAGCATGTGTTTACAGCTAAAATACTTGTTTTGTTGACTTGAAGCAGTTTCCCCTTTGTGCCCTTTGCCCCACTAATGCAGAGTGGGATTAAAATTGCCGAGAACATCTCTGACTTTCTGTTCTTCTATTCCCCCACCTCCAGCTGCCGCAGAGAGTTAGAAGCTGGAAGGGTAGCAGCACTAGTCAGCTTTCTTACTGTGCTGTGCAGTAGAACAGATGGCGCAGAGCCATTGATGTGGAGCTGGACCAGCCTGGGCCAACCAACTCAGCTGCAGGAAATCTTCCTGTCTCTGTGTTTTTAAGAGCAGGGAAAGGGAGAAAACTCAGTCATAAAATCATAATGGGAATTGAGTCAGGGAAGAAACTAAAAACCGTTTAGTATTTTTAGCTATAATAAAATAAAGCAAAATCAAAACCTCTGATGGGAATGGAGTTATAAAATTAAAAACAAGTTATTATAGGACCTAAAATAGCAATTTCATAGTAGCCATAGCCATTATGCATGTGTGGGAATACAGAGGTCATGTAATAACTTTTTTAGTCTTTCATCCTAAGGAAACAGCTAAAGGAACAGTCAAAGATTCCTCATATTCTTGGCAATGATTTTCACCGAGGAAAAGAATTTATTGAAATCCTCTTAGTTTCTTTAACTCTGATAACAAAGAAAACTTACCCAGCTTGTTTTCTGCCACAGTTGAACAAGGGTGGTGAAACAGAAAGCTCTACTGGTCTCAGAGTAAACAACTGCAGAGTTGCAGATACTAACTACAGTTCCTTGGTTTATTTGATAAAACCCAGGTGATAATTGCAGAACAAGGTCAAGTTTATCACGCACTACAGGATGCTGCCATGACAGGAAATCTAATACTACACACACTTCGAGGCATCATCTTGATGAACCAAGAAAATTTTCTGTTAGATTCACCGTTTGTACTGAGAAACTGCAACTAAGTATATTTATAGTTTGATAAAGCATGTATTAAAAATGTTAGGTTTAATATGTAACTTTTTAAAAGGAGGTATACCAGGTTTTTAGTGGTAGTTACTTATGGGTGGACAAGAGAAAGAAGTGCTCTATTATCTCTTCCTGATGTTATATGTAAAAGTGCTTTACCCTTAGAGTTAATACAGTTAAATGTTTAAATAGGATTTAGGACAGTTTAATTCTTGTCTCCTTAATCTACCTCTTGTTCATGTTTGTATTTTTCTCTGTATTGTTCCAGTTTTAGTTTATGTGCTGCTGAAGTTAGTACCATGTATAGTATTCTTTGAAGTCAATTTTTCTCTTAAAAGACAGTTTTGAACTGGACCTGGTGGCCTGCAGTCTCAGTGCTTAGAGGTGGATGAGATGGTGAATTCCACAAAGTCTGGGTTACATACACAGCAAGACCCTATCTCAAGAAAAAGAAAACAAAACCCAATTTAAAATAAAAAGACAAGTTTATTGTTTTAGAATTCTTTTACACATAGCACACACGTCCTGCCTCCAGAACTGTTTACTTAGAAACATGGAAGCAGTATGTGTATGTGGTTGAAAGTCAGCCTAGAATATACTGTTGGAAAAAGTATCACAGGTCTTCTCTTTCACCCAGTTACCCTTCCAGTAAAGGTCATATTGCTTGTTAGGCTGGTGTCCCTTCAGGACAGTAAGTTTCTAGTGTGGTCATTGATGCTTGGTTTTTCTTTTGCATCTTCTAAACTTTTAAACATCAGAGTAATCAAAAGAATTTGTTCAGATTGTCAACTTCTTTTCTGGTGTCATATTCATATGCTTTTACATGTCTGGGTAAATGAGGATACTTGGAAGTTATTTGAAACCCAAACTGTAGTATTCTTTTATTCCTAAACATGGGTGTTTACTTCAGAAGAGGCTAATTCTCCCTCACATTTATGCATTGTGCAGGTTAAGTGTGGTTCTGGGTGGAGCACTAATGGGGAAACTCTTTGATTGCTGGTTTTGAGTTAGCTTACCCAGTACTGAGACTGGATCCTAACAAAGTGGGTGTGGCTTCGACTTTACTGCTTCCTTGTGAGGGAAAGGTGGTGGTGTGTGAATATGCTCACAGTCCTGTTTCTGCTCAGAGAGAGTTGTAAGATACAAGCATTGGCCATGAGTAGAGTCTATTTGAAACAAACACATACTCCACGTCTTCTCTTTCCGTTTATGTTTTTCAGAAGGATGTGTATTAATTGTAGACATTTAGTTGTATTACCTATCCTGCATAGAAAAAGTTTTAAGACAAAATTTGTATTATGTAAAATTTAGTTAATTCAAATATATAGTTTATTTGTAAAACCAATGAGATCAGTGACTATAAATTCAAGAGTAGAACTTTGAGGTTATAAGTAATGATACTTTTTATCAGCCTTAGCGTGCAATTACAGTTTTTATGTGCTCTGTTTATAAATTGGGAAAGTGCTTGGATCGTGGTTAAGGATCCTATAAAATGCTTTGAAAGGCACTTATGAGACTCTTAATGGTTTTCAGATGCCTACGTTATGGTTTTTAGGGTTTTTTCAAGGGGTCTCCTGTTATAACATATTCAAAGCCCTTTTGTATATCTAATATATTCAGTCATGAAAGTTTTTTTAATCGTGCATGTGTGTGTATGTATATGTATGTGGATATACACATGCGCACATGACACAGCATTCATGTGGCTGCTAGAGAGCAGCA